GTATATAATTACCCTGGTGAGTGGGATATAATCCTAGCTAGTATATAATTACCCTGGTGAGGGGGATATAATCCTAGCTAGTATATAATTATCCTGGTGAGTGGAATATAATCCTAACTATAAAATAATTACCCTGGTGAGTGGGATATAATCCTATAGCTAGTATATAATTATCCTGGTGAGGGGGATATAATCCTATAGCTAGTATATAACACTGGGGAACAAAAGAAATTTTTTTTTATGGTGCCTAGAATATTTCAACTGATTTTATTACCTCTTTGGTCACTGATAACTAAAATAATCGCCGTTTTGCTCAATCAGGTCAGATTTTTTTGCAATTTTGATTTTAGCTTTATATATTTTGTCGTTCGGAGAGCGATTTATCAACATTAGAAATTGTCCATAACTCAGCCTGTGTACAAAATATAAAAAAAGTAAGGGCACTTTTATTTCTTCAACTTTAAAAGTTGAAGAAAAAAAAGTGGTCTTATTTTTTTTCTTTTTTGCCCACAGGCACAGATATAATGTTTTTTTTGCTTTCAAATTCAACTGGGTCCATACTAGTCAAGAACTGGTTATCCTTGATAAGTTTTCTGATCTGGGGCCCATCAAAAACCCCGGCCATCTTTTTGTCAATGCTAAGTCCAGGGAAGGCATTACAGATGTACTTAAAACATTCACCATCTTTGTCCAAGGCTTTGACAAACTGCTTCATAAGACCCAACTTTATGTGTAGAGGAGAGAATATGATCTTGGATCTGTCCACAAGTGGTTCAGCTATCACATTCTTCTCTCCAACAACCATGACATCCCTCTTAGGCCACTCCTTTCTTTCCCAGTGTTCAGCCCTTGCCCTGCTGTCCCAGTGGCAGAGGAAGCAGGGGAACTTGGTGAACCCACTCTGTTGACCAAGGAGAAAGTTAACCATTTTCAGGTCAACACAGATCTGCCAGGAATGCTCATCATACTTAATTTTCAAGAGGACTTGGGCTGAGTTATGGCCAATTTCTCTCTTAAACGAATACCCGTTCGATAAGCCAAAACTTACAAGACAATAAATCAAAATTGCTGAAAATTCTGACCTGATTGAGAAAAGGTATTTATCATATAGTTATCAGTGACCCTAAAGGTAACAGAATCCGTTGAAATATCTCTGGCACCAAAATCTTTGTTCCCCAGTGATCCAGGTGAGTGGAATATAATCCTAGCTAGTATATAATTATCCTGATTAGGGGGATATAATCCTAACTATAAAATAATTACCCTGGTGAGTGGGATATAATCCTATAGCTAGTATATAATTATCTTGGTATGTGGGATATAATCCAAGCTTGTATATAATTATCCTGCAGGTAAGTGGGATATAATCCTAGCTAGTATATAATTACCCTGGTGAGGGGGATATAATCCTGGTCTGAATATCAAGTTGACCGGTCGGAGAATTCACACTGGTCACCTGAAATAGAAATAAACAAAAATATTATTAAAGGGACTGTTACTGTTATTTCAAGTGACCTTTCGATCATACAAAGTAGGCAATGACAGATTTACAACAGTACCCTTTAAACCTTTGACTTCTCATTGAGCACAGAGAACTGCGTGTTTAAATATCTTGGAAACCACTTGAATCCCTTTAAAACGCGGTGCACGCTGAATACAGTGTGAACTCAATTCAGTTGATGCGTTTCTTGTGTGCCTTGAAATTACCAAATATTTTTGTGAATATTAATATTTTTACAACTTAAAAACAGCTGCTACATAATGATTATAATAATAATGATAATGATTGTGATCGTTAGTTAAACAGAAGTTTTAAAACTGAGCAAAAATTTTTACAAAATTACATTTTCATGGATTGCTTATGTATGTACAGTTAAACCCTAAATGAACCATACATCGAAGGAATTTATCAAATGTCGTCTTGACAATTTGCAATGGTTTTTTTTACAAGTTTACGTAAATCTCAGTATTTGCGAAAATAAATAAATAGCCATGAATATGCAGGAATATTTTTAAAGAGCTCCATATAATCATTTAATTAAAAAACTAAATATTTGCAACATTCCATTATCAGAAAGTGAAGAATACGACATTTGATGAATTCTTTCGACGTATGGCTTATTTAGGGTTTAACCAAATAGATTATTAAGTACAATAGTACAATAGAGAAATGGACCAATTATACACAACGTCACAAGTGTTAAATATAACAAGGAAAATGAAATTTTCAGATATTTGTTGACATGTTTTCCAAGATTAAATAAAAAGTGTTAAAACAGAAATAAAGAACACATAAAAATGCACCTATTCTAAAATTATCACTGTTATTAATAATTTTGTCGGACACAAAAACTGAATTGACACTTGTGACATTAGACTACAACTGTACTGAGAGTGTACAAATTCTACGTTGCCATCTATTGTACTAGAATCTATTTGGGTTTACTGTATGTAACTTCACATAAAGAAATGGACAATTCCAAAAAAAATTTAATTTTTTCTCTCCGCATTTTTCCACAAATTACTCAAAACCACAATAATAATTTTGCCCAGAAATACCCTTCAAGTTTCTCCTTATATTTTTACAATCTGATATCATGGACTCTTTGTGTTTTATTATAACTCTGAATTCTGCTGGTTCAAACGGTTGAAGTTTGGCATATGAAATAGAGATGTAGAATTGCAGGATATAGAGATGAGAGAAAATTAAAGATTTAGGCGAGTGTTTAGTCTCTTTCTCTTCGAAATCATCGTATCTTATATTTACATTTACCTGCCGTGACCAGGATTTGGCTTGAACAGCAAAAATACAAGACAAAATCAAGAGGATAATCATTTTAATATCTTTCCCAGCTCCTCCTCTCATTATAAATCTAAAAGTTTTTTAAATTTTTTTAACTGAATCTAACTGAATCAGCAGAAAATCTTAAAATTAACTAAACACCCGGGTAAAACCCCATTATCAATTCGAAACCCGATTGTATAAACCTTTTATATTTATTATTTCACTTTTGAACTTAATAATCATTCATAGTTTGGAAGATCCAATTGTCTACGTCATTAGGTTGCAAAGATATCAGGATTATAAAATTTCAATTTGTGACGAGTAATCAGTTCCTTTGTTTTTTAAATAATTCGACACGAAATGTTCTGAAAAGTTTCTGTATAAAATACAATTCCTGCAATAATATCAGCTTTCACTTCATAAACTCTGCAGCTCTGTAGCCTACTGACTGACACTGCTGAACATGTGGCACAGTTCAAAATATCAGGGTTCATAAACAGCTGTAAAATATCTCAAGCAAAAATATAAATATTAAAACTGTTGAAATTAAAGCACAATGGAATTTAATTCTTGTTTTTCAACGAGTAGTTAGAATAGATTTATCTCTAACAAACAAAAATTCTTATTCGACAATAAAGGAATTGAGTATTTGCCACATTAACTAACATTTTCTAATCCTTATATATTCGCAACCTGATAGTATAAGCCTTTGATATATTTCAAGCTCAGATGATTTGATCCAACAGAATTCAAAGTTTGACATAACTGAGGTCTACGACATTGGGTTTTAAAGATATAAGAAAGAGAAAAACAGAGTTAGTGGCAAAGACTCAATTCTTTTCGCACATTCGCATATTTAAAAATACACATAATATTAATGCCATAATTTTTTAATTAAGAGTCCCATTTCTAACGTATCTTTATACCGCTTAAAGATGTTCCTGAGATTCAGAATATTCAAAACTCTCTGTGAAATCTTCATTTTAAAACACTTTTCATACAAATAGTAAATTATTCCCATTTTTCTTATGTTTTTTTCTGAGATTGGACCAAAGAATAAGAAAATATGTATTGTTTAATAGAAAATATATAACAAATATACCGTCCAATCGAAAAAAGATATCCATTTCGTATTTTAAAAAAAAGATTGAATTCCAATTTTATGTTAGTTTTGATTCCAGGTTGACAAGAAACACGTGTATTTCTAGTCTAATATAATAAGAAATCACGCGTAGTAGACAATAAAAGTTCTTCTCACTTTATGACAGATATCAATAAACTTAATTATAGTTTAGATTTTTTAAGGAATTGCTCCTTCTCTATACGTGAAATTCAACTTACGAAAAATGAAAATGTGACATAAGTAGTTCTTTTCCAAAATTTTCAGATTTGCCACAAACTCTAATTTTTTAATCCAAATATATAATCAACCCAATGTTGCATACCTTAGCTATTTCAAACTATAAATTCTGTCAGATCAAACAATCAAACAAATATATTAAAGGTTTATACCATCAGATGTTAAAGATATAGGGATTAAAAAATTTGAGTTTGTGACAAAGACTCAATTCCTTTGGACAGAATTTAATGAATTGGAGAGGTCGATGAACTACCGTCGTACCGATCACCGGTTCAAATCCTGAATAACCTATTCAAATTCTCATGAACCTTAAATTTGAATCGGTGATGCAAGATTTGAATCAGTTGATAGAAAGTTTAGCGTCATAGTTCAGTTTTATTAAATTCGGGCCCCGGGAACATTTTTTCTGAAAGTTTTCATCCAAAAAGGAATTCAAATTGGAGACGTTTTTATAAACTGTCCGGAGAAACATCATCAATAAAAGGGAAGTTTTTTTAATTTTCCTTAAAAACCCATCAATCAAGAAAATAAATATTTATGTGTTTTCCTATGCTCAAGAAAAATAAAATAAAACATATATTGTATTTAAAGTAAGATTTTAAATTTCTTTTAATTCATAATTGGAAAGCCTTATAGTTTAAATTCTAAATGATTGTTTGCTGCAATGTTGTATACAGTATATATAATATATATCGTATACAACTAAACGATCCCCTTTCAAGGTTCGAGATTAATGATGTCAAATAGAAATCAAAAGAATAGAACAGGGTTTTTGAAAACGCTTTTTTCTCCCAAGGGTTCAAGAATTTGTAAAATAGAATTTTAAAAAGTTAAAAAAAAATTTCATAAACCGATAGTAATATTGCCTACATGAAATGATTGTTGTTTATTTGTAATTGTTTAAACTTTAAATTAAAAACATTTTGTTGGTACAATAATCCCTATTAGGGCATACATACAGTAAACATTACATACAAAAAATATTTTACAAAAATTTAAATTTTTAAGATCATTGAGTATTGTATTTACTATTTATACTAAAGAGTCTTCTCTTCGAAATAGTAACAAAATTAAGGAAAATAATTCTTAGCTTAAATGGCAGCAAAATCATACTTTAGACATATATCACATGCATATGTGGAGCAGAAACATAACTTTTTGAGATTTTTAGTGATGTTGTATATTATAGTGTTAAACCTTCGATCCAGAAAGGTCAAAACAAATTTTCTAATTCTTTTAAATTGGGGGAGAGGGGGGGGATTAATTTGTGAAAATGAACACAATTGCAGGTCAATTACAATGACAAATAAAAAATGACATTATTTTTCCTCACAAGCATGGTAAATTCTAAGAATTTTCGCGTGTGGGCAGTGCATTGTCCTTCTATATATAAATTTCGCTTGTCTGTTTGTCTGTTTGTCTGTCTGTCTGTTTGTATCCAATAAACGTCAAAACGGCTGAACCGATTGGGCCCAAATTTTTTGTGGGACATCTAGGGACCCCAGGGAAGGTTTATGAATGATTGAAATTTTAAAAATTTGTGTTTTTAAGGTTTTTAAT